CCTTCAGTTGAAAGTGTGATGCACTAAATATCAATAAAGTTCAAGGCAAAGAGAATGTGAAGCCTGAGTCAGACATTTAAGAGCATACACATATTTATTTTCAACATGTACTGTATTTAATGTATGTATGTATGGATGTATCTGATCCGGCAATAAATCAAAATCCTAAAAATGTTTATGCATTTTGGATAAAAACTCTTTCTGTTATAAAATCAAGCATGCCAGAAACACACGTAAACATTCATTAAAATATCAGCCGTTCACTTTCACAGCCGCTCTCAGATTTTCTCCAAGTTACAGCCGAACACTTTTTCATTAGACATCAAGAAGGACATCTATACTCAGCAGACGTGAAGTCATGTCATCAATTAATTATTATTATTATCATCCGTCTGTTTTTGTTCATTTGTGCAATTGTGACAACAGTCAAAAAAGGAACAGTTCTTTTGTTTTTTCTGCTGCTTATTCAATGTGCTATGCATACATGCTCCAGTAAATGATGTTGAAGAGCAGGTAAGCCAGCGGGAATAATACCCTGGAGAATGAGTCGATCATGTAGCTGTTGCTCATGATGAAGCTGAGGTTTCGTTTTAAAGGGTGCTTGCGATGTAGCCTGGTGCCTTCTGTGGGTGCGGAGACAGTCGAGTTTCGAGACTGGATGTTCCTTTCTGTATTTGGGGTGCTGGCGGGGAGGGAGGCCAGGTCAATTTCATTGTCGTGGAAACACCCATCAAAGGCCATAGCCTCAGCAGCATTGTAAGAGGTGGGTATCTGCAGAGAGAGGAGAGCAGACCACTGTTAGTTTCTGGGGATTGCCTTATGGCTGCATACCGGCTTCTGTAGCCTAAATCGGACAGGAGATTTGAGAAGATTTTAGAAAGAACTTGACCTTTGCTCTCTTCAGCTTCTTCATCTCCTCCACTGTGGTGAAATAGTTGACCGCAGCGTACTCGATGACTGACAGAAAGACAAACAGGAAGCTCGCCCATAGATAGATGTCTACAGCTTTTACGTAAGACACCTGTGGCATAGAGGCCGACACACCGGTGATGATGGTGGACATTGTCAGTACGGTGGTGATGCCTGGATACAGAAAAACCAGTTGTGACTGTTGCTGCAGAAACATTGCAGAGAATAATGTTTCTGTATCTACAAACAAGTAATAACAAGAAATTATCCTTTGAAGACCTTTTATGTACTAATGTGAAATCAGTGTATGAACAATTGTGCCATACAAATCACAGCAAATGTGATAATGTTACGAAATAATTTAGTCGTGGTAAAGGGCAGGGGGTTTGAAAGGGCATATCCTTTATCATCCTCAGGGTTTTGACAAGCATATAACCATGCAAGTGTATTTATGTTCATTAATTACAGAAGGCAAAGTCATTATTACATCATTGCTGGATGCAAACTAGCTTAACTCTGATTTAGTGCTCTTTTGCTCGTAAAGCTTTTAGAATTGGAATTTGGAGTCTGTCTGATTCCAAAAATAGCCCAGCCTTAATGATGGTGTCTCCTTGCGTAAGCTAACTGTGTAGGAGGGGGGAAACATAGATGGTGAACCAGCAGACACCCTTGGATACGCTTAATTGCTTTCTTGCTGAGCGGCAGATTAGAACAGTGACACTCATCTCTCATGTCCATAAGCCAGGAAATAGCTGCTGTTTGGCTGCTGGGAACTCCACTATCATTGTCATTGCAGGTCATTGCACCTAAGTGAGAACCTATTGTAAAACAATGATGTGAGTTTCACTAACTTATAACATAAGAATCCTGTGAACAGGATATTTTAATCCAAACCCCACTACTTTCCTGAACTTTAACCAAATAGCAGTTGGAAAGAGAAAGAAAATAACAAGTGAAATCATAACAAAATGTGCAAAGCACGAAGCTACCAAAATACCAAGCAAACTGGGGTCTTCTGGTTGACAAACTTCCTCCACTCCTTCCTCCTTATGGGGAATTTCTCACAGTTTAAATACGGGCAATTATCTCTCAAAAAGAAGATGTAATTATTTGATGAGACGATGTGCTTCCTGACTGACTTATGCCTAATCTCTCCAGTAACTGGCAAACAAGGGAGTGGAATCAATCTTACCATTTCACTCTCAAAAAGTTAATCAATGGAAAGATGAATTTAAAGTAAAAACTAGGCATGGTGATATTTTCTTATCAGTCCGGATGAAAATACAATTTCAGTAATTATTTATGTTGGTCGTATTGGCTCAACGGCTTAGTACCCAGGGAGACACGGGCAGGTACGGCTCTCCTGTCTATCCAGAAAGACACCCAGGACAGCATCACCATCAGCATGGTGGGAAAGTACGTCTGAAGCATGAAGAAGAAGATATGCCGCCTTAGAATGAAGTTTATGTAGAGCCGATTGTACCAACCTGAAACAGATAAATGGACACAGTGGAGTGCAGGCAGGTGGAAAGCAGGGTGATATCAGTAACTGACAGGAGAAAATAAAGTTTTCCTTATTAAAAATAAAAGTCCAACATGAACCTACGGGGAGAACCTAGAACTCAAATGAGAGAGCAAATCTCTTTAATGCCAGAGTTATATAACATCTTCATAGATTGGATACTGTAGATGAAAATCTCTCTGGCTCCAATTCTAGCGTTTCTTTCTACACAGACAACAATAAAAGGAAACTGGGTTTGAAAAAGTAGACCCCGCAGTCATACAACTCTAAAACACCTTGAATAATCAATACCTTTCTGCTTTGCAGAGAGGGATTGATTCCCATGTCATCATTTTGGAAAATGTGGTTATTTTCTTTCTCACAGAGAACCTAAACAATCAATAGCACTCAGTCATGTCTGTGTACATATAAAAGCTTTTGCCCGTACACAGTTATGTAGCAAAGCATTATGACTGGAAATGGGAATAATGTGTTCAACTGTACAGATGCTGGTTATTGGATTTTGTAGCCTTTGGGTAAGCTGTTTCCACGAGCTTGGACAAGTTAATCAACTGCTGGCTGCATCTCCATAGAAAACGACTGTATGAGTGGTGTCAAATCTTTTTATGTAATGCGTATTTTCCAAAATGTTAAACTGTTCCTATTTAGAAAAACAGTAGGGGTCTGGAGCACTCTGGCTGTTTTCAAACTGAATACATCTCAGAGTGTCCCCAGACTCCTGCCGGACATACCAGTGCTGCTGTAGAAGGCAAGCCCAAAGGAAGGCTGGAAGTCTTCAATAAAAAACTGAGAGAGCACAATCTCGTCAGTCCTTAATGAATCGTTCCCGTTCTTCCAGTAGAGCATTAGGTCGTTCTCATTGTAAGCATCTTCAAGAGAGGAGAGAAAGAGGGTGGGCGTTTGGGGTTGGACACCTTCGCGTATTGCCTCTCTTAGAAGTTTCATGGATGTTTCTCTCAGAGGAGAGGAGAGAGCTGCCAAAAATGGGACTACCAACTCTCCCCTGAGATCAGGATCCATGATTGAGACACACAGAGTGAGAGAGAGAGCGGTAAAGACCAAAGAATTCCCAAACATTGCAGTAAATCCTGCATCATGAGGATAGACAAGCATAATGCACAGAGTCTGACTTGAATGACCCGAGGATTATAAATAATTTGTGCAAAAGGGGGATGGTGATGCTTACTACTGTGAGCATGAAGTAAGGTAATACACTCTGAGCTGTCTCTGTCCCAACTGTATAACATTCAAGTATATCCAGTTGTGTTTTTGTGCGGAAAACAGATAGTGTTTGAAAATTTAACAAGCTAAAAGCTTTCTCTAGCCCAAATTTTTTAAATTACATAATAGTGCATCAAATGTTGTGTAACATGTTTACCAGCGAAACATGTCAGCACAAGAACAAGTACATTTAATGTAGGAATTAACATTATTACTCTGCAAACAACACTGGATATCCTATTAGGTATTTGCAAGCAACCACGATGTCCCGACTGCAGCTTAATACTCACAGCTCTCCAGCTCCAGAGAGCAGTTCTGTGTGTCCAGAGGGAAACTGCTGAAGTCCATTGAGCAAAGAGCCGTCACAGTGATCCTGAAACACAGCTTTCAGTTAAATAAATACCTACATAAATATTGCAGTAATCTCAGTGAAACAGTGTAAAATAAAACTACTGGACTGAATTGATTCATTCAGTAACAGCATCTGTGCCTGACACAGTTTGTGGCTGCTGTTGGCCATTTGGGAATTTGTGCCATATTGTCATCATCTGTGACCGAAATGGATATGTTGAATGCCATCTGGGAGCTTACAGTCCACCTTCTCATATTCACTTCATACCCTGCCCACTAAACTGGGTTGTGGTGATGTTCATGCTCATCAAACAGTCTTAGTAAAATTTAAGCTGTAACTCATTGTATTAGGACATGTAAGCTTAAAACTCCTTGCTAATTTGTATATACTGTACGAGGGGTTTTGGTGCAAATGCCTTCATTGGTCTGGTTTTTGGCAAACAGCACCCCTCAGGGCTGAAAACTGAAACCAGCTGGAGCAAACACCAATACAGTTTCTCTAATGGCCATTTGAGCCTGGCCCCGAAAGTAAATCGATAACACAGGCTGTGCGTAAAACACAGATGTAGCCACTGTGACGTCACCGATTGGTGGTCTCATTTTGAAACTGCGTGTTTGTGTTGTGTTTTGAAGCCTGATGTCACAAGCTTCAGTTTGACAGAGAAATCAATACACTATGCTCACTAGGTAACAATATGCCAGTCACAACCCCACCCTAAAACATACCCAAGCTCATCCTCTTTTTTGACTTCAGTGGTGACCATAATTCACAAAGGCAATATTTAGAGGAAGCAGTAGGCTCCTTTTCCTATAGACTTTACAAGAATTCATTAAAGAGTTGCCCCCTGCTGGCCACTAGTAAGAAAGCTGAATTAATGCATGTCTGCATTATCTATATTGGCACATCTTCATGTGCAGGTAATTGTCCTAACACTTATTCAACAAAGAATGAAATCCTTTAAAATTTAATGTTAATGTTAATCAGTGTTAATGTTAACATTTTTTTATTTTAATGTTGACACTATTTATCAGAGCCTGGAGTCTGTAGATCTACCTTACCAGATAGTGTTAGCTAATACTTCAATCAATTTCATCAAATTTAGGCCCTTCTAATTTCAAAAAGACAAGATAATGACAGCCAGTATTAGCCATTATTTTCGCTAATGGCTAACGACAGAAAATGCAATCATAGTGATCTCTCTATGAATACAATGAGACATATATCATTTTTTTTTTTTTACCTAACACTGTAGAGAATATTTCCATCAGGATAAACCCTCAGCATAATGTTCTCCATGGTTGTATCATGGATAAAGGAACGCTTAGAGTGGACAAAAAACACATCTGGAACCCAGATTTTCTTCACCAGACGTGCATCGAAGGTCCGACTCTTGTTGCTGCTGGAGGGAAAGGCCAGGCGATCATCTTGCCAGTAATGCCGCAGGTAGAGAGTCATGGTGAAGTCCTACAAAAAGCAAAAACAAAAACAAAAACACTCATGTTCAACAGAGAAAACAAGTCAGTTTCTTTTGATTAGATTAACTACTGAAATCTAAAAGGTGCGTACCATGTTTACTTCAGAAATGCTGTCAATGCTCTCCACCTGGACATCGACACCAACAGGCAGGGCTGAACCTGGACAGATGTTGTAATGGATCAGTTGGATAACATCTGTTTGTACATCTGTCTGAGATTACCAATGTGTAAATCTCACTTCTGAGCTATATGCAGAGATAACCCTAGTTTATACAGTCATGATGCACAGTACAGTATAAACATCTGTGACTGAAGCAAAAAATCTTATGTTCACATTCTAGATTTTTGAATGTCAAAGGAACCGTTACATTACACTGGAAATCTTTGTAAATGCACAACCTCACCTTTTATTTATTTATTTTTTTGGTTCACAGTAAAAATCAACTCCTCAAAATGTCGCTTTACTTGAAATGCATGCTTCAGTGACCTTTCTTTACAGTATTTGATTTAGACAAAGGTGTTGAGCTCATGCACGACACCTTAAATGAACGCTGCTGCTCAGTTAAGAAGATAAAATGTCAAAAAAATTGTTTAATTATTTATATATCTTCACTACTTTCTTGGTTAAGCTGTTAATACTGGAACAGAAATATGTAATACTTAGCTCTCTACTGATTCTGAGAAATTACATCAACCACATCAACTCGTGTGACCCCATATGGTACATTTAGTGCTGAGAAAATCCTTTCAAATTTGGCCTATGGGAGAGGTAGCTCACTACCTACATGCCTATAAATTTCCCTGAGGTTACATAGTCAACATGCATGTGTGGATATTCAACAACACTCACTAATTCATTGTGTTATCTTAAAGGATCCATTAATTGAAAATCTGCCACACTGTATTATTACATAAATATCCAGGGTAGTGTATAGTAAGAAGGACGGTTCTTGTCATTATCCTGCGGCACAATACGATTAATGTATGATTTGAACTGTAAACACCGGCTGATGTTGTTGGGGGTTTTTTTTTCTGTGCCATTACTTAATGAAGGTAAGCACTCAAAAGCATGTGTTTGCAATCACAATGGAGTAATGAATGTGGAGGGATTTTACTGGGATGCTGACATCCTGGAAGTAGGGTCAAACAGAGTTAGCTCACTTAAGCTCGTTAATGAGCTTCAAAACTCTCTATTACCAACAAAAAAATGGAAATGAGGAAAAAAAATGAAGAAAAAAACCTTTGCGGGCCACAGGACACCACACATAGCAGACAAATGTAACAATCCAGCAAATGTGTTTGCAGCTAACAGAGTTAACTCACACTATCAGCTCAGTGATAATGTCAAGTTTAGGAAGAAAAGGTTTGAAGTAAATAAGAAACAAAAAATTAGGTCTTGAACTCAACTCTATTTTAAATAAATATGATGTTTTATTAGTATCATAGTCACAAAGTGAATTAATGAAACAGAACAAAGAAACAGAAAAATAAAGAGTTTTCCAATTCGTAACCACCACCGATTTGCTTGACCCAATAAGCTGAATAACAATGATTTAATGACAATGTTCCAGTTGTGCAAACTGATCAATTGACGGGTAATCTTACTTTTAATACTAATTGGTTACATAACATGATTATTGCTATTAAAAAAACAACCTGTTGCACTACCCAGTGAGAAAAGTAACTCATCAGACAACCAAAATCCCCTCTGCAGTTAGCTTTGTGGTTATACATCCAGAAATTCTACATCCTAATATGTTTACTATAGTCAGTTGATTTTACCTCATTGCACAGCAGGTTAGCACTGGCAGAATACACTCAACCATCTCACCAGCAATCGGCATGTTAGTTTCCTACAGAGTGGCAGCTTTAGTCGTGGTTTAGAAGCGAGACGTCTGTATGGCGCGATATGGCAGCCTCGCTTCTGTCAGTCTGCCCCAGGGCAGCTGTGGCTACAACTGTAGCTGCCTTCACCAGTGTGTGAATGTGAGAGTGAATGAATAGTGGCATTGTAAAGCGCTTTGGGTGCCTTGAAAAGCGCTATATAAATCCAATCCATTATTATTATTATTATTTGCAGGTACAGACATTCATTATCACCTGACAACAAATGATACAACTACTTAATGCCCTCTTTGCCTGAATGCTTTATGACCTGACTGACACAAACTTGGATACAGTCTTGAAATATGCAGCTGATTTCCATTCAGAGGAACATCAATAGTGATCTAATCACTCTGACACTCAATAACACGTAACACCCAACACTGTTGCCACAGCACAACAAACCCATGGTGCACGCCTGCAGATGTCTTAGGGAATGGCATTGATACAAGAATAGATTTTTCCTGACATGACGAGCAAATGCTGTTCAGAGGCTCTCATTCACCAGATAAAATCGTCCAAGCACTCTTATTAGGCCGACGTAAACATCTGTGTAATCATCCACTGAAAAGACTGAGACAGACACTAAGCAACTGGTTTTGCCTTCTGACTGGAAAGAAAATGAATTCAAACAGACATTACAAAAGAGGGTGACCACTGTGAACATGCAGTAGAGAAAGTGATTATTGTGCAGGGTTTCTTTAAGGTAATGGCAAAAATGACGCAAAAGTTAAAAAAATCCAGACCTGTGATTGGAAGCACACACACACACACACACACACACACACACACACACAGCGAGAATTAGGAACACAGTTCAGATTATTTTATCCGTGCTACCGCAGTCATTGTCTCTCAAAGCAGACAATCTAGGTCACAAAGGGCTTTTTGGGCGGCATAATACCAAAAACAGCACAGTAACCTAAATCAACCTGCTGTGTTACCATTAAAGCACACTTAAAAAAATACTAGGAAAAATATTTGGAGTGAGAAAAAGTTCAAATAAATGAATAATAAATACAAATAAATCCATAACAAATACAACGACCAAGTGTGTGTGTGTGTGTGTGTGTGTGTGTGTGTGTGTCTGTGTTACCTCCAAAGCCAGGGCGCATCGCAAAGTCATGGTCTTCAATCCGAAGCAGCTGCTCAGACTTAATTAGCAGAGACTTGGTGCTGTCCAACTTCTTCATCTTAAGATCCACCCGTCTGGAAAGCAAAGAGGAGAAATAACAGTTTAAGTTAAATCGTTCTCTCTGTCTAGATTCCTTTCTAACAAACACTTAAAACAGCACTGACAGATGGTGTTAGTGATGGTTAAATGGACTTTAGCACTCTGATTAAAAGCAAAGGCCGTAGCCAAAGGGAGATGAGTACTTTTGCTTTCCACTGCATTCTAGCACATGTGTAACTCAGCTTGATATTGTGGAGCCTCTTTCATTTATATCTGACTCCTGAATGACTTTAGTCACTGAGAGGATGTCATAGTTATCCTAAAACCAAACCAAAGTTCACATCGTTTTATGTTTTAGATTCAGCAACAATCAACACAAATTTTCTGAGCAATGCACATAATCTATGACCTTTCTCTGACACTGATCTACCATCAGTGGACCTAAACGCAAAAAGATGCAGTTATTTATATTTACACGTGAAAGCTCTACAAAGTAGGACATGGAAATGACGTCCATAAAATCACCCATGAAGGTCAGTTTCCACATAAGAAGAAGCTCCACAATTATAGTAAATCAAAGACTCATCCAAGAAACCCCACTTTTGCTCACCCTCCGTGCTTTTGTCTAGCGTTCTCTCCGACGTACAGCTCCTTGTTTCTCCTCTTGTTCGGGAAGTGGCTGCTGTTGAGCTGAGTGACAGGCCACAACCAGGCCAAGCACATCAGTCTTAAGGCCAGGAAGGCCACTCTCATGGTTAAGCTGGGGCTTCAAAGACAAGAGGAACCCAGATGTCCCTCTCACTTCGTCAGGGTCTCTCCCAGTCAATGTCACAGTTGTTCCCGTCCTCTGCTGACGCCGTCCATGTCCCAGCAGCTCTCATTCTGTCCCGTCACGCGCGTGCCCGGCTGCTTCTGCGTTATCCCGCTCTCTCATCTCCTGTAACATGGTGAACATCAGTTCAGATATCCAGCAGACTGGCATCCCCCTGGCTCTGAGTTTGTTTGTCACTGTGCCATCCCTCTGCTTACGTTTCCTGACACATCATGTTGCTCCAACTCCAGACTGTCCCCACCCCCGCCAAATATCAATTTATTCCTATAATGACAAAGGAATACCATTAATTCCTCTCTAATCTTCTTTTCTGTGGTTGGTGAAATCTTTCAGTAACCTACAAACTGGAGGAAGCAGAGGGCGGGGACGGGGGATAATACCAACAACAGTTTCATCATCATTTCTGACCAGATAAAAATAAAAAGGCTGCAGCCTACTTTTGTAGGATTCTC